TATGGGAAAAGAGAATTTGTTTGGCTTTGTTGAATTCCTTGTTTATGTTCTTACATGGTCCCAGATTGCCCTTCTGGAGAGTAAAGCGTGTTAAAAAATGGTAACTAAGGCATAAAAGTGCTGTGTTGCTGAAAAAGGACTATTTGCTTCTATCTGCTACCTATGTATATCTAGGTGTGGTAGAAGCATGTAATAAAATCATATTGTGTTTCACATCATCAGGACTTCTAAAATAATTAAGTTGGGCTGCCCCATATACAAACAAACAAAGTGTTGGCAGTGTAGAGAATGCTATACCAGCATGTTGCACTTTACAGGTCGCTCTGCTGCCTAAAAGGAGATTTCTCCTGCAACACCAGACAAACGTGTTTACAGCTTCTTCCAGATCTGCATACTCATTGCACTCTTACCCAAAAATGTTTTCCTCATCATAGAGGAAATCTGAATAGATGTACCTGAGGTGTGCACTGGAGCCACTTTACTTTCAGGAGCAAGACTGTTGTTCTTGTTACTCCTCCATATATCCAAATAGACTAGTGGAGGGCAAGATATTTTAGGAGATATTTTTAATTAACTGTCAGAGTTTTTGTTTCTTAGCTTCTGTTTATACAGATTTTTAGTGATGCACTTAGAGTTTTGCCTCAGTTGCAGTTGATGAACTGTCGTAATGTAGGATTTCTCAAGTTGTTTGTTGTGGGTTTTTTCCGTAACACATACCATGGCCAAGCAGAGAGGGATTTTCAAGAACTTTGTTTGACAGTGTGAAGCCTGCCTCCTTTCTCATTCAAGGTCACATAACTTCCCTCCAGCATTTGCAGGAACTACTCACAAGGAAAAGTGATGCTAGGAAAACACTATCTTATTTTTAGCTTTCAGTCATCTCTCTCTGCCTTCTATTTTCTCTCTTCTCAGAACATGAAAAGCACTATGAAATGTGGACTTTTTTTTTCCTGAGTTCAGCAAGTCACGAGAAGCTTTGACCTGGCCTTGAGTACCTCTGTACCTTTTGCATATAGCTGTGGCATACTCTGGAGGTTGCCTTTTGCCTATGCTTCAGTGGCTGGGAGGCTCTGTGCTAGGCTGGAAGAAATTTTTCCAGGGTATGTTTAATGGAGAATATTTTAAGGGAACCAGTGATGCTTCCTTACTTGCTTGAGTGCACACACTCATGAAAATACCAGTGGTTCTCATCACAAGCAGGGAAAGTAGGAGGAGGTTTGAATCTGGATCAGGAAATCTGCCTTCTGAGAGATTCAGCTAGGCTTTTACAGCAATGTCCAGCTTTCTGACATCTAGAAAGATGTCAGAAACTTCAAGGTTTCATGAGTTATCTGTTACTTCTGTGATAATAGGAGCTCGGAGAGCTGAGTTTGTTCAGCTTGGAGAATAAAAGGCTCTAGAGAGACCTGATAGCAGAGATTTGGATTGGATATAAGGGAAAAGATTCTTACAGTGGGGTTGTGAGGCACTGGAACAGGTTGCCTGGAAATGTGGTGGATGCCCTGTCCCTGGAGACACTCATGGTCAGGCTGGATGGGGCTCTGAGGAACCTAATCTAGCCGTACATGTCCCTGTTCACTGACAAGGAGTTGGACTATGTGACCTTTAAGGGTCTCTTCCAACTCAAATGATTTTATGAGAGGAAAATACTTGTTTACTGCATATCTCATATGCCGTGGTACCGAAACAGATCACCATTGAATAAGGTCAGATATTCTTCCTCATTGTTTTGTTTGTTTTTTTAATTAGGATTTAACACAAAGCGTTAAGTAAACTTTCACTCAGAGTGAACATTACAGCTGTATTTGCAGTACCTAAATAACTGTAGGAAAGAATCCTTTTTGTTCATGGCTGTGGGGTGGCCCTGCTCAAGGGAAGGAAATGGATGGCTTGAGAGCTTGCGGAGCTGCAAGGTGTACCCTGGGGAGGAAGCTCTGGGCATTTCCAGAGCATAGCAGAGAGACAAAGAAAGCCACAGCACAGGATGAATGGCCTGGGCTTCAGGGAGAACTCACAGTGAAGAGCAGAGATATTATCGCCATTTTTAGGGGATGTAAGGGCTGCAGAATTTTTCTTGCAACTTTAAAATTTGCTGAGCAGACTAGAATGAAGCCTAGAGGCAAAGATGAAACAGAGAAAAAATACAGTGGGGTACATTGGGTTTATGTGACGAGTTTGGTAGCAGGGCCTGCTGCTCTGCTGCATCAGGCAAGGCTGGGACTGCCCTGTGCTGCACACAGACTGCTCCAGACAGCTTCAGAAGCCCCATTGCAGGGCATGGCTGGGCCCTCAGCCTTGGGGAGAGCAGAGCTCAGAAAGGGCAAAAGTGTCTGGCAGTCAGGAAAAGGGCAAGAAATGGCAAAAGAAATTGCGAGCAGCCTGCAGCCTTTAGAGAGCCCATGCTGCATCAGGGAGAAATGTGAGGAGCAGCAGAGAGGAGCTGCCATGGGGTAGATGGGGTAGTCTGAAATAGAGAAATCACACAAGAGCCGTTTTCCATTGAAAGCCAGGGGGCTTATGTATTATCAGTTAGGTAATTTGCAATGCCAAGAAGGACGTGGGGGTTCTGGTGGACAAGAGTTAGGCCATGAGCAAACAGCGTGCACTTGCAGCCATGAAAGCCAATGGATATCCTATGGTCCATTAAAAAGAGCATGGCCAGCAGATTGAGGGAGGTGATCTTCACCATCTGCTCTCTCTGGTAAGACCTCATTTAGAATACCAGGCTCCCCAGTTCAAAAAAGACAGGGTTCTCCTAGAAGGAGCACAGCAAAGGGCCACAAGAATGAGTAAGGGCCTGGAGCAGCTCCCATATGAGGAAAGTCTGCATAACATGGGTCTGTTCAGCCTGGGGAAAAGATGACTGAGGGAGGCTCTGATCAATGTTTATAAAGATCTAAAGGCAAACGGATGAGGCCGGGCTCTTCTCAGTGCTGCATAGCAATAGGACAAGAAGTAATGGTCTAAAAACTCAAATGTAGGAAGTTCCATACAAACATGTGGAAGAACTTCTTTACATTAAGAGTGATGGAACACCAGAACAGGTTGCCCAGAGAGCTTGTAGAGTTTCCTTCTATGGAGATATTCAAGACCTGGGTGGACACCTACCTGTGTGACCTATGGTAGGGTACCTGCTTTATCAGGGGGTTGTACTTGATCTCTTGAGGAACCTTCCAAGCCCTGCAGTTCTGTGATTCTGTAAGTTAAAAGTCTTACTCCAGTACACGCAACTGCCTATAGAGTACAAATGTCTACGGAGTACAAAAGCACTTCCCAGCTCCTGGGTGCAGACACGTGCCTCATCTTAACTCCAGCTTATTGGTGGACCGGTGTTATCACATTCTTAATTTTTGAATACACTGTTATTTGCAGGATGCCATCAGTTCCACCCCTGTCTCTTCAAACTATTCATACCAATTCGAGGCTAATCTAAGAATGTTTAAAGGCTGGAAAAAAAAAAGTGCACGGTTTGCAAATACGCACATGCCTAGGTCCATTGGCCCAGGCACTCTACTGGAAAAAATTGTGCAAAGACCAGAAGTAGTAAGCATTAAAGGATAATGTGTAATAAATGTCAGCCAATGAAGTAGTATGAAAAATACATTTTGATGAGTAAATGTCATTGCTTCTTGATAGAGTCACAACTTCAGCCAGTAATGGTTACACAGTTCTTATCACAACATTTTCAGTGTCACTTATAATGCTGATATAAATTTGTATCTTTCCAGAAGTCAGTGGTGGCTTTAGTAAGTAATTTCAAACCTGCTTACTTGAGAATTCAAAGCTGTAATTGCAACCAGTTAACTGATGATCATCGTGATCCACACCATGGTGGAATTCGCTTATGGTGTGCCTCTGCTGAGTACTCATTTTCTCATTTAAACTGAAACAAACAGTTGATGGCAAGAAGTCAACTTCTCCAGAGCCCATTTTTTAAATGATGACTGAATTCACCCAGTACATTTATGGTCTGTACCTCACTTGTGTCTTGACCTGTCAGCTGTGCTCATTGCTTAATCCCTGGTGGTGGGCTGTAATGCCCCTTCTTCTGTTTTGAGCTTCTGGGAGGGAGGCAAAAATGACTATTTTCTAAGCTGAGCTTGAATACACAATATTTAATATACTGTGCAATGAGTCACAGTTGAGTGGGACTTGAGTTACTGTTTTCTGGCAGAAATTGGAACTAAATGCTCTTTTACTTTTTTGCCTGCAAGCCTGAGACTTCTTAGGAGCAGAGCAGCGCTTGGCTTGGCTCTAGAGTCAGTGGGAGGTAGTGATAGTAGCAGCACCATCCTGCTGAATTCAGAACCTGACTCAGAGTCATTTCTCTCTCTGTTCAGGGAAGCAGCAGAGAAAACTCTTTCCTCCAGCTGATGCAGACTCTTATTTATGCCTTATATATCAAGATGAGGGTGTTTTTGCTTCCCAGCTTTGATCACAGCCAGAAGGCAACCTGGGTTTTAATTTATATAACAGCAGCCTAACATTAAAACTCAGTCTGTGGACCTGGCCCATATGTTTTAAGTGGATTCAAAAAGTCACCTATTGATTTATGTTATTTTTTTCAGTTTCACCCTCAATACTTACTATTATAATCCACAGCTGTCTGCACAAGCTCTTGGAGAAATGTGTGCAATAACCTGTCTGGAAAAGGATTTCCCACCCTATCAATATTAGGTTAAAAAAAACAGGTATTGTTAATAGAGGCGAGAGCTCCTTATGCACTGCTTCTATCTCATTTAATTAATAGTCCCTTTTGGGATAAGAAACTGCTATATTAAAATTACAGTAATTATTTGTTATCATTCTGTTTTTGTGACATGCATCCAGGAAGGTCTGACTTAGTCCACTGATGGGTAAATTGTTACCCAGATGAAAATGTTGTTGTGATTAATGGTTGTCTGATTGTTTCTTGGTTACCTTGTAAAAAGGTCAGTTACTAAGCAGTTTATGTTCAAGAGATACTCCTTTGAGTACAAAGATCTTTGTTCTTCTTCCAGCAGATTTTTAAAAGCATCACCAATGAAGATTCAATCCAGGGACAGGGAAATCGGAGGCTGATAAGTTTTTCGTTGTCAGGTAAGGTACTGTTAGTGTGAAATTTCAAAGCCCAGAGTGGGAAAATGAAATTATTAAAACCCTTAATGTGTGTGTGTTTATGTGTACATATGTATGGCTGCATGTATATATTTATCCATACACGAGTGTGGTGAGGCACTAGAACAGGCTGCCCAAAGAAGCTGACAGTACGTCATCCCTGGAGCTGTTCAAGGCCAAATTGAGTGAGGCTTTGGGTGACATAATCTAGTGGATGTCAACCCTGCCCATGGCAAGGGGTTGAATCTTAAGGTCCCTTCCAATCCTAAAAATCACAGAATCATTAAAATTGGAAACGACCTCTAAGATCACTAAATGCAACCATAAGCCATCACCACCACATCCACTAAACCGTGTCCCTAAGTGCCACATCTCCATGTTTCTTCAGCACCTCCAGGGACGTTGACTCCACCACTTCCCTGCACAGACTGTATCAATGCTTGACCACTTTTTCAGAGAAGGAAGTTGTCCTAATATCCAAGATTAACCACTGTTAGTGCAAATTGTGATCATTACCTTTTCTCCTATCAGTAGTCACTGATCTGCTGTTAGTAGTTGTAGAGAGTGGTAAGGTCTCCCTTGAACCTCCTTTTCTCCAGACTGAACAATCCCAGTTCTCTCAGCTGCTCCTCGTAAGACTCGTGCTCCAGTCCCAAAAAACAATAAACTGGTGCTTCAGAGCAAAAGGAGATCACTAACTTCTCCAAAACAGATCTGTAGGAATTTTGTTTTCTAAAAATATTTGCTTCTTTACTGATGGAAGTTGGTCCTGTGAAAGTTAGTTCAAATTAATTAATTAGCAACATTGATCTCAAAGAAGATAGTTTCCCATGATTAGGCTTCTTAGTCTTTTATACAACTGTATTATTTCAACTTCCTTTATTTAAAATATTAAGAAAAATATTACAAGCCCAATTTAGTTACATTGAGTACAGCCTTGAAGGAAAATTATTCAGCAACTTTGCATTTAGTTACCAATGAATGTCACTCTTCTGATAAGCAGCTGAAAGTGTCAAAACTATCGCACGAGGTACAGAAAGAAGAAATGAACTCAGCTGCCCAAGATGTACCAGCTGCTTCACTGAAAGTTCGTGTTTTAGCAGCAATGTAACACAATTGCTGAAAGCTCTGGAAGCCATTCCTTTAAATAGTATATTTAGAAAGTGTTATGATATTTGCATGATATACCTCCTAGCAATGTATCACATTAAATGACTTTCTTCAAGCTTTAATATTTCACGTATCTTATACTTCATATTCACTAAGTGATTCTGTGGAACAAGTGACCAGAAGGTCTACACATGTCACAAGGTTACATATGAACCTGAATATTCATAAGACACTCAGTGATCATTGTTTATTGTTTTGTTGTTGTTTAATTTCTTTTTTTTCTGTGGCTTTCAGATCACACATTGAGATAACATAAATTTCCAGGTTTTAGAATTCAGTATCTAAACAACAACTGAAAACAACATTAAGTCACAGCACAATCAATGAATATACAGATGATATAGTATATTTGAGAGCTTGGCTTAGGTGGCTATTATACTAGAGCAGAAAAGGACACTCACCCTATCCTGGGCTCACATAGGAAACTCCACTGGAGCAGATCTCCAGAAGAGATCCTTCCACACTGTCAGTCAGCTCTTAAATGATTCTAGGAGAGGTGCAGCCAGGCTCCACACTTCCAGCAGCACAGCTGAATCGCCTTCACCTGTGTTCTGGTGGCTGACTCAGTGCTCGCCTCAGGTGGTCAGTCAGAGGTTCAGGCCGTGATTCAGCAGCCCCATACAGTCCACTGAAGATTATTTTGAAAAAATGCTACATCAAAATGTGGATATAGAACATAGTCTGTCTTCTAAACATTTCTCGAAGTCCTAGTGACCGATTTTCTAACAGGAATCCTAGCTAGTAAATTTTGCTTATTGAATATTACCATAAACCTACCACTTCTGCCCTCCCCCAACTCAAACTGACTTGCCCAAATATGTTCTTTATAAACCCCTAAGTTACTAATCACTCACCTGCTTATTTGGTTTTTTACCTTTGCAGAGGTGAGGTGAATGCTAACCCCTCCAACACACCAGCAGCTAGGTGCTCTAGATTGACATGCTTAGAGTCTGAAATTAACTGCTGCATTATCCTGTGGAACACACGTAATCTTACCCTGTGGTATGGAGCTTTGTGTGATATCTGCTATCTAAGACTGGTTCAGAGGAAGATAAGAGGTGGTATTTTGCTCCAGTGGCTGACAGCTTGCAGTGATGAGATCCTCGCTGTTAAACTGTTCAAGTAGCTGTTCAGACTTTTTCTGTGCTTTCTTTCTTGATTAAGGCAATTTTAAAAATAGCCTTTTGGCTATTTATGAATAATTAATTTCTTAATTCCTTTTCATTTATAAATAGACCCGTTTCCTTCCTTACACCTCCACTGCCTCTTCCTCATAGGAACGAGAATCCTTTCCATAGTCCTTTTGTAGCATGTCCTAAATGATTTTTCCCTCTTTTCCACTGCCTTTAATATGTTGTCTGGTTGTCTCATTTGACAAAAATGTTCAAGCTAATCTATCCTGCTTAGCTGGGTTTGTGTTTGGTGTTTTTTTTTAAATCAGATCTTTAAGAACCTCCTTGTGTAAAGGTACCAGCCAATGCTCTCTTACTTACATTATTATTTTTCGTACAGGGAAATGCAGTCTATTTACAGATCTGTGGATTTCTGAGAGCAGAAAGAACTGTTTTAATGTCTGTGTAACCTTTTGAATATCAGCAGTTGCAGAATCCCATTCAGTAGTTGATTAGTCACTAATTTATTGTACGTTATCTTTCTTAATTCCCCTGTATTATTTTGCAGTGTTAGATGTAAGTCTTCCTATCGCTGCACATTACTGTTAGATTTTTACAATTCCTTAATATTCGATTTATTGAAGTTTTATACCACTTGTAATACTGCTTAATTTGTTCTCGTTTTCCATACTGTGAATTCTAGCATCATGTACTACTGCATAAATCAAAATGGTATTTCCAAGTCAGTGCAAAATTGCTGTACTGTGACTGTTGAAATGTTATTTACTACTGGTAGCTGAAATAGTCTCTATTCCTTTAAAAGCACATTGCTGAGAGGAGGTACTTCCATGCCTATTGGTGAGTCTTGAGCAAGATGAGTTTTATTTTTCCTTCTTCTGATGCCACCTCTATGTCTCACATAGCTCAGCTCAGTGTGTGAACTTGTGCTCTCTGAAAGAGGCGATACTTGTTTTGATAAAAATCTACACAGAGCTCACTGCAAAAGAAACACTGATGTGTTAGCTGTGACAATTACTTTATCGTACTGATAGACAACTGAATTACCAGTCCTGGTTCAGGTACAGCTATTGAATGTCATAAGCTAAACTGAAAGCTCTTTATTTTACAAAGTTGGAAGGGAAACATCTGTTTGACCTATCCATTGACAGCCTAATTATTGTGGTGATGATGTCTGTGGCCTCCAGCGCAAGAAAAATGCGGAGCTGTTGGAGCAGGTCCAGGGAAGGCCTCGAGGGGGGTCAGAGGGCCAGAGCATCTCTGCTGTGAAGAAAGGCTGAGGGAGCTGGCTTGCTCAGTCTTGTGAGGAGAAGGTTCTGAGGGGACTTCATTGCAGCCTTACAGTACCTAATGGAAATTTCTAAGCAGGATGACTTTTTACACGGGCAGATAATGATAACACAAAAAGGAGTGGTCTTAAATGAAAAGAGAGGAGATTTAGATTAGATATGGGTGGTGAGGCACAGGAACAGAGAAGCTGTGAATGCCCCATCCCATAGCTCTTTCTATACCCTATTCGTCACTCTTATTCTCCATTTTTTTTTCTATGGCACGGATCTAGGCCAGTACTTCACTATATCTGCACTATCCTCACAATTGTTTTGCTTATCACTATGATCAGAGAATCTCCTTGCTGTGCATGACAAAATGTGACTGTCGTGCTCTCTCCTCTGACCTTCAGAAAGTTTAGTCACTTGTACTGAGACATAATCAGACCTGGTAACACAAATAGATTCCAGCTGTGAATTGATTAACGTCCCCATCTAGTTTCATGTTTTCCCACTAAACACACACTGATTTCCAAATTGCCACAAAGATACAATCTTCCTCATTAACTAGTCATCAGTGCTGGAAAGTCCGGGATGCTGTGTGAAAAATGAGTGTACAGAACGAGTCTTTACAGGGCAGACAGGGAAGTGTATGGCCCTCCTTAGGGGCAGAAGCGACATGCCTGCAAATGACCTAGAGCAAAGCTTCCTTTAGTCTGATCGAGATAGCCAGAAATCAGCACGTATGAAAGGCAAGCCCTGAAGTTGGAACAAACTGATAATTCCCTTGGGGCAGCAGCAGGCAGCACTTGCTGTAAGCCACCTGCATATAGAGAAGTGAGCCTAGCTGGCATAGGATGCGCATACTTTTTTAACTGAAAGTCTGTAGCAGTGAAAGAATTGGCAGTTGCTGCCTGTACACCTGGATTGCTTCCTTCCATCAACTTCCATAAGAGAGAGGGCCTCACATTATCAAACTGATAGATCTGTATGACCTTTTTTACAGACTTATGAACAAATGGGAAACTGACATATGATATATCAATAACTTCTTTAGTAAACTGGCTAAAAATACACTTTTGAAAAGCATGGGTGAGTTATGTTGGTAGCATGTCCTCATGCCTTCATGAAATACACTAAAACTGCAATGTACACCAACATAAATCTCAGCCATCTGGATTCATTGGTTTTACCAAGATTTGAATTCTGTTAATCCTAAATATTCAGTATCTTCCGAACCTTTGCTAAAGACAATACAGAGGAGAGAAATATTTTCATTTGTGAAAGTGGAACAAATGGTGTTCTGATCAGATGTTACACAGCAGTGGTAAGAGTGTACCTGAGTGTTGTAGTTACAGCAAGTTACAGCATTCGTCACTTCCATTTCAAATTAAATTGATTTCTTCTGCATATACGCAGGTGTCAGTGTAGCATTATTCTGAGCTCTTGCATTTTCGAAGCTGATTTTCATGGTGCTCAGAATTTTTTGTGAGATATTTAAGTGCTATTTCCCTACTTGAGAAAGCTACTTCTGCTATCCTTGTGTGCACTGGACATTAAAAATAGAAGGTTCTGATATTTTAACATGATTTACTGCAATCTAAGCAAGAAAATGGTGCAGATAAAATTTCTCATGTGCTTAGCTAAAGCATTTTTCTCATGCACATACAAGAATCAGCTTACTAATTAGGGTTAGGAGTACCTTTACCTTCATGACTGTTTATTTCCCAAAAATGAAAAGAGAGTGATAGGTTATCAAAATATATATATATATTTTTTTTTTTTTAATGATACCTAATATATACGTACCTATCAATATGTATGTACTATCAATTCTGTACCAGGTACAGGGTACAGAAAGATGGAATGGCTGCTCTTTGGAGGAAAAAAAAATCAAACATATATAGCAATAAATATTTCAGTTTCAAATCTTTTGAGGAAACATCAGAGGGAAAGAAAATCAGATCTGAGAGGTCTTTTCCTCCTCTCATATTTTAGCATTCTGACACTATTACACTGCTGGGCCTTGTCATTCATAGCACTTTTGCAATATTGGTTTTTATTTCTGGAATGCACTTCTAACAGTACAACTTTCAAAGCAAAACAGTTTGCCATAAAAGATTTCATCAGGGCTGATAGATTAGATATATGCTGCTAACAGAGATTGCACACTTAGAGGAGAAACCCATGTTATCAGTTTGAATCAGATCTTTTTCTTTGTGTAAAAATCTCCCTATAACCATAGTAATGCATGGTGTCAGCAACGTACTTTCACATGGGCTGTTAATAATGATATCCCCTATTTTTCATCTTTATTCATTAGAGAACATCAGAAGAATGAGATTTTTTAGTACAGTCAGTTTCTGGGCCAACAACTTTTGAACTATGAATTGTATGCTGGAAGATGCAATCAAAATCAACTTCCTTTTTAGTTTGCATATTTTATTACGTTCCCTCTTACCACAGGTGAAGAAAGTGAAATACAACCTGGTGAATCTAAACAAAAATGCTGATGTTGGTGTGGTGTCAATTCACCTAGAATATCTTCTGGGAGTGCTTTCCATGGTCTCCTGTTGACTTGTTAGAACAACTCTGTGATTTGGATTTAATCAGTTTGAAGAGTGTTAAGGCACTGTTAAAGATAGTGTTTTGGAAACCTGCCTTAAAAGAAAATGTTTAAATTGAGTATTTAGGAATGCATCTAAGCAGTTTCAGAATATTTTTGTATAACACTTTGTACATCTTCAACACAGCAAGTGAGAAAAAGCAGCTAGAATGCAGGTCAGTGCTTTTAGCTGTAAACAGATCTCCATGCAAAGAATGGTGGGAAAGTAGCTACTAAAATCACTAATAAAAGCTAAGTGCTTTATGTTTTCCTAGGAGAGCTTAGAGATGCTGGAAAAATGAAGGCCAGAAGGTTTAGTTTATAGCAGTTGAACCAAAACTAATGATAGTTGCAAATTTGCTTTTCATTGACTTCATAGCAAGAAATCATAGTAGACTTGCGTCTTTCAGCAGGATCTTAAGAGTAAATGTTGAAATAAGTGCATGGAGATTTTCTCTGCACAACTCAAATACCAGGGAGTTCTGCAGCTAGAAAGTCCCACTCAAAACTTGGACATTATGTACAGGAGTTTTCATGAATTAATTCAGGTAAAGTTGGCCCAGGCGTGGAAGGAAGCATTTTAAAGTGGAAAAAAAAAAAAGTAAAATGGCTTCTCATGTAGAAAAAAAGTGATCTAAAAGCTACATTTCATAGAAGTAGAAAACCGATGGTTAGGAGAAGTATCATGATTGCCGTGTTTACATCATGAAATGAATGGATCTCTTTTTCAGAGCTTGTTTTGGAATTTTGATTGAACAATTGCTTAGCTCTGATCACTTTTATTTCGTTCCACAAGCTCTGATTTAGAAGCCATGTTACCCTGCACAATCAGGGTGTAAAATTTTCAGTTCAATCAGATAATAAATTTTAAATATTAAGATTTGGCTTCATGTTCCCTCACAACAAATACAATAAGTTTTTTGTTTGCTTGCTTGTTGTATTCCAACCAGGCTATCTAAATTCCTCATCAGTTCCCTGTCTATTTCTCCTGCTCTCCCTGATAACTGCCTCTAATTTGAAAAAGTAATCACTTTCACAGAATCACAGAATCACAGAATCACAGAACTGTAGGGGTTGGAAGGGACCTCCAGAGCTCATCGAGTCCAACCCCCCTGCCAAAGCAGGTTCCCTACACCAGGTAGCACAGGTAGGCATCCAGGCAGGTCTTGAACATCTCCAGAGAAGGAGACTCCACCACCTCCCTGGGCAGCCTGTTCCAGTGCTCCGTCACCTCACTGTAAAGAAGTTCTTGCGCATGTTTGTGCGGAACTTCCTGTGCTGCAGTTTCCAGCCGTTTCCCCTTGTCCTGTCTCCACTCACTTTATTTTACCTTATTTAACTTCTTTCAGATTTCCAGGCTTTCGGTCTGAAGAAAGGAATGTTTTTCAATCCAGATCCTTATCTGAAGATTTCCATCCAGCCTGGGAAACACAGCATCTTCCCAGCACTTCCTCATCATGGACAGGAGAAAAGATCTAAGATCATGTGCAATACAGTTAACCCAATCTGGCAAGGGGAGGTAAGCAGTTGAGCCAAGACTTAAAACATGGAAACAACTTTGGCTATGGATTCTTTTCTTTAAGCTTTTTCTTATCTGTAAGTTTTTCCTTATCTAAATAGTTGTTGATCTAACCAAGTTTGATGTGTTTCATGGTTTCTTATCAGTACAAAAGACTTAAATAGCTACAAATCAAAATCAAAACTTTCAGTATGGGTTGTTCTCTGTGGATATCATTTATGAAGTTAATTATGGAAGGCAAATGTAACCCAGAATTGAAAAATATATTCTGATAACGTGAAAGATTGCTGCTAGATTGTCATAGTGTTCTTATACAGAGAGGAAACATTATATAAAGTAAAATAGTATAGCATGCAAATAAAAATCTGTGTTTGAAAAATGTCTCTGGTAGTATAAATTAAAATCAACCTTGGCACATTTGCCTATCACCTTGAAGAAATGCTCTCTAGTCTGCTGCTTGTTATTGGAAGGGCTTCATGGGCATTAATGAGATCTTAGAGTTCAGTTGCTCCCTGCTGTTTTTAAATTACACCCAAAATGACAGCAATGAATAAGGAATCTCTGGAATTAAAGGAACCTGACATTAAGAGTTTGATTTACTGCTATTCTCTTTCAGACCAATATCTTCACTGCAGGAAAGAGTAGAAGTAAATAAATAGACTAAATTTATTCAAATTAAAATGTAAATTGCAGAGTAGCTTAGGAATAATTAGGTCAAACTGCATAGGAATGAAAGTTAGAGTGGGGAAGGAGATGAAAGAATTGTCACTGAATACTCTTCCGTTGAGGAGGATGCATTTAAATTAAGTATTGCATCAGGTTGTGCTACAGGTGAATTTTTGTTGGGGAGGAGATGACAGCTCGAAGCTAGTCTGAGAGAAAATGCCTTCTACAGGACTTGCTTAAGTGGAAGGCCCTGTTGTGAGGCATCCACCAAGCAGTATCTTCTTTCCTGCCCTAAGCAACAGATGTGTCTGGCAGAGGGGTCCCAGGCCAGAGTTGCTGGAACTGGAGGTCAATGGCAGAAATGTTTCAGTAAAGTGCATAAGACACCAGTCTAGAGGTAAGCAGGCATAAAAAGGAAACTTGCTTCATTATGTGACACATATGGTGCATGTGATTGTGGGAGTTTACAGAAAGCATGAATGCCAGAAACTGATGCTCAAAGGACATAGGATGTGCCTGTGATCTTGCTGTTCACTGTTGGCCAGACTGAACTGCTGAGGTGACACAAGCTGTTCACATTAGAAAAGGGACATAAGCTGTGCTGATGGAGGCTGAAAATAATCTTTTTAGAAGTGCTCAATACTGGTTGGAGCTCTTCTTTTTTCAAAAACAAATTCCAGCCAAAGTAATGTGCTCTCACTTCAAGGTCTTTTTGCACTGCCAGGGGATAAAATAACCACGAAGAAAGAATGTGGCTCTGATTAAATGTCAAGGGTCATAAGATATGCTTGAGTTTGTGAGCTGACATTTCTTTTCCAAAGAGTTTGTCAGAAATAAAAGGAGAAACAATGAAATAACCTAATAAAGGATGTAGGAAAGGAAAAACACACAGCTGAATTCTACCTCCTCTGCTCTCTGTCTGGTTTTCTTAATTGTGTGCAACCATGTAGCTTCTTCCTTTCTGTTGTTAGCTTTTTGGCCCGTAAGGAGTCTACAACAGCAGAGATGTCATTCAACACACTATCCATCATTTTCTTTGGCTGGTGTGGAAATGTTTAACTGCTTGTGCTTGGGTTGCAGTTTACACACATCAGCTGCTCTGAAGTTTTTGTTACAAAAACCCATACTGGCATATCTGTCACAGAAGTTCCTAGGCTTCTTCAATTTTATCCTTTTATATTATCCTCCTAAGAGAAGGAGAACTACAAACAACTGCCAAATTGTGGTGGTAGCTGTTTTTCCATCCACCTTTTTCACGACACTGGTGGATGTGAACACTTGAAATGAAAAATTGTGAGAAATCATAGTTATTTCATTAACTGCTTCCATCACAAGTCATTCTTCCCCAGTATACTTTGGATGGTGTATTACTTCAGAATTGTGATTCTTTTCTAAGGTTCTCCATCATAGCCCATGTAAACAGAATCTAGAAGACCTTTTTCAGTTTCTTTCTCTTATCTGATTAGTTTTGGCTCCTAAACTTGACAAATTCTGAAACAGGGAAATAAAACTTTAGAAATAACTACAAGCTGTTATATTTGTGTATGTTCTTGATTACCCTGGAGCAAATTCAGAAATGAAAGTGTTGTCTTAATTCTGTAGGACTTCACCATCAAAATAAAATCCTACAAAGCAAAAGATGTTTCATTTACTTATATTCATTATTCATTTTGCTATTCCACCTCATATACTTATCAAATTGTTCTATTTGCATAGTAACCATCTGCATTAAAAGAACACTCTGAGAGCACTGTGATACCTCAGGCAATATTTCATCAATGTCATGTAATATTAATGATCTTCATTTCACAAGCTATTCAGATATTTTTCGACACTAGTAGCCCTGAATTAAAGCTATCTTGTATTGCACTGTTTCATTGTCCTTTATACAGGAAGGCATAACCAGATGTAAATTTCTTACTAAGAGATGAGTTGTGTTTAACATTTTGACACTTGTAGCAATACTCAAGTGAAAGTGAGGTGGAAGCCTTCAATGAGAGCTGATCAGTGAAGCAGGTTTAAAACCATGTGGCGTCTTACAGTGGTTGAGAGGAGTCCTTCTGTGATGTTTCCATGTTTTCCCATATGGAAGCATAACATCCAATTCTGCTAAGCCAAAGTGCTGAATATTGTAGTGTGCAATGACAAAAGCTAGTAAATATTCAAAGGAAGGTCCAGACTAGTTACTGATTGTGCCACAGCGTCTGTACAGTCAGTGATGAGAAGAAAGCAACTGTAGAAAATAAAAACAAGTTCCTTTCATACAGGGAACTTACTGCTGATTCACAGTTTATGGTCCAGATTCTTTTCATACTCCTTGCTCTACTTTCAACGTGGTGCATTCTTTAACAATATCTGTACTGGTAAACAACATAGATCTGTTAACATAGATGAGGTTCTGAAAAACAGCTGACACTGCACAGCTGCATCTATGTAATTCCTCTGGTATCCTCTAAAACATGTTGGGTGTATCCCAACAACCTGTTAGGGATGCTCTCTTACCTGTAGAAGCCCCATCCCACTTGTAGCAATTGGTTGGTGCAAGGCAAAACAATTGCCAGTGACTGTCGACAGTTGTCGGCAACTCATGGCTCTGTGGCTGTATTTAGAATATTGATAAGATTCTTGGCACTGACAATAGCATTTATCTCAGCCTTTTCCCCATATCTGGTCTTAAGTGTCAGACTGGACCAGTTCTATCACATCAGATACTCATTCATCACGCACAGGTAGGAGGTACCCCTAACCTGTCCAGACTACTACTTGCCATCCACTACAGGCTATGGACAACTGAGGGGAGAAAAGTTCTCACTCATTAAAAGATGTCAGCTGTAGGTGAAGGTGGTGGTGTGGATACATTTTAGATGTCAATGAATAAGAACAAACAATACAAAGAGCAGGGATCAGAAGCCAGCAAGGTTGTTGTGTTGCTGACCTACATAATGGTTTGTAGGATTGTTGCCCCACAACCTCTTTGGCTTTGCTTTTCCATCTGCAACATAGCCTAGTTTCAGGAAAGACCTCCCAGAGTAATTTATAGCTTGCACTTTGTCTTTTTAAACTTAATCTACTGGGAAGAAACCACAGTATGGAAGGTATCTTTGCTATCCAGAAGAAAAATTTTGCATGTTGGACAATGAAAATGACTGTGACTACTCTGCTTTTTATCCATGTGTGCTGATATCGCCAAGGTCAGGAGTTGCCCAACATTTTAGTCTGGGAAGAGAGGGATCTGGGGAGACCTCAGTGCAGCATTCCAGTACCAAAGAGAGCTTATAAAAAAGTAGGAGACTACTTTTTACATGAGCAAATGGTAGTAGAAAAAGGAGGAATTGCATTCAATTAGAAGAGAGGAGATTTAGATTAGATGTTAGGAGGATTTTTCTTTACTCACAGGGTGGTGAGATACTGAAACAGGTCACCCAGGAATGTTGTGGATGCCCCATCCCTGGTGGCATTCAAGGCCAGGTTGGATAGGGCCCTTGGCAGCCTGATCTATTGGCTGGTGACACTGCTCATGGCAGGGAGATTAGAGCTAGATGATCCTTAAGGTCTCTTCTAACCCAAACCATCCTATGATTCTGTGTCATCCATTTGACTTCAGTAGCGCTTGTTTGTATCAGAAATGTTTTGAAGTCAGAGTCACCTAATGCCCACTTATATAGAGAGATTACTCCAAAAGTAACCCTATTTTCAATGTTATCACCACTAGGAGCAATGCATTTTTGCCAGTGTTGAACAAAAGCCCACGCACTGCATTTGTAAAAACCTGCACCAGCGGAGATGACCCACCGTCAGCACTGCCGAAATGCATCACCCAGCACCTCACTGTGCTCACATCCACTGTTGGTTGCTGAATAAACATTCAGCAGGCATCAGTGGGTGTCAGTCTTTTCTGCCCGGAGAAATGCAATTCCACACCTGTATTTTATATACTCTTCCATGTCAGATGCCAGTTTCTCGGATGCTCCTCTGCTACTATCTGTCACACAGCAACAAAATGTGACGGAATATTGATAGGAAGGTTCAGTTTCTACAGCTGTACCACCAAAATCCACCACTGATGTTGTGGGCTGTTAGAAGGGATTTTGGAGCAGCCCACCAGATTTGCTAACAGTTCACTTAATTGCAAGGTCATAGTGAGCGAGTTGTCTTAGCATGCTATTTTGGGGTAAAACGTAACTAAATCTCTTCAGGAAGTGTTCTTTTGTCAAATCTTCTGTTCATCTAATAGAACTGAGGAAGGTGAATGTTCATCACCTTACTTCTAATACTGCTGTTAAAAGAATAATGACACTATTCACATATTGTTTCATGTTGAGACCGTGCATTTT